TATCATTATACTTCTGCCTTTTCCCTGCAATACCCATGTTTCCCCAATAGATGGTGTAAAAAATTATAAAAGCATTTAGCATTTTACCCTTTAAGCAGGAATTTTACATGTAATTTATCTTCAGTTCACACAAACGCGCCATCTAGAGTAACCCCCGTTCAATTTTTGGACAATTGTGGCCCGTGAGTCAAATAGCCTGAGCTAGCTAAATGTAGTACAAAGCATTTGTATTAGAATTAGTAAGATGGCAGACGTACATTTTGAAGAGATGAATTGTAAAAGGTAAATGTAGTTTAGATTCAGTGAGGAGGTTAAATTTCCTCCGCAGCCTCACAGTTGTCACATAAACACAGTGTCACACACACACACACACACACACACTAACAACATTTTCAAAAGCCAGAGGACATCATTAACATCCAACACTTGATCTGTTCAAAACATCAATGGAGTACTAATGGAGCCTGCCAGTGCGTGACGTGTCACTGTGTTTTTATTTAAGAGCGTGGATTGTGATACTTTCAATGTCCTCTTTCAACCATTAACACCTGCAGCGCTGAGAGACTGATTTGTGTGTGTATGTGTGCGTTTCGGTGAAACAAACGTGAGGAGCGCCCGAGGCTCAGTCTGCAGCGAGCGAAGCAGAATTATCGACCAGCTGGAGCTGAACATAACAAACCATGGAGCAGACCTGAGCATTTTCTTTTGTGAAAGAAACACATGCATGAATTAAAGAGAGTGCTCACTTGTGTTCCCATAGAATTATCAAAGTAATGCAAAGCAATTTTCCTCAAAACTCCATGGGAGGATGGATGTGAAGGTGAACGATATGAGTACTAGATACAATATTCTGGGATTTGTTCTGTTACACTCCCCTCTCTGCCCTTTGTTGTTGTGTCTTGTACTCTATATTTACTTCCAAACCTCAAATCCAAACCTCCTATACTCTTTTACAAGAAGAAGAAGAAAAAAATTGATGTAGAAAAAGCAACACAGAACGAACCCCGACCCACACCCCTGCGATTTGAAATACTATTAAGAACCTGATAACATGTATATTCTTATCTGTACAAACCACTGTATGAGTTGCTGTCACCTAGTGACTGGAGGCCTGTTATCTTTCAAGCATTACAGCAGTGGTACTTATGTCCAGCGTACCATATTCCATTGGAAGCCCCTCACGACCCCCCTGGCACCTCACTGCGCCCCCTAGGGGGGCCCGCCCCACTATTTAGAGAGTCCTAAGCTAGGCCAATCTCATCTAATGGGGCATAAGCCGTGCATTTCTCAGTTTCTGATAAAATAAGTATTAAGAAGATAATATGGTGAGATTAGACTGATGGTCAAGCACTTCCTAAAGACTTGGTCAGGAGCAACACAGATTGATTTGAAGAGAGTCGCCAGGGTTTACAAATGTATAGCTGTTGAAGGTAATTTCGTAGTATTATCCGTGTCATCTATAATCGTCCATCCATCCATCCATTTTCATCCGCTTATCCGTTACCGGGTCGCGGGGGCAGCAGTCGCCACCCAAATCACACTGCACCGCACCAACCCCCCTGAACCTTCCTGCAGGTGGTGAGTCCACTGGAAGGTACCAACTGCCCTAACCAGGATTCGAACTTGCCCAGGAGGTGAACCCTGGGGTTCCACACCAATCCAGTTAAAATGAACAATTGAAAAGTACTCAGGATTTATATATATACAGTATATCCTATCTTTTTTTTTTTTTAAAAAAAAAAAAGAGTTTTGCGACCAGTGGAGTCGCCCCCTAGTGGATAAAAACATTTGCTCAACTGCCTTTTTTGAGTGCTCAAATATTTTTTTGACATGAAGAAAATACGTATTTCACTCTTGTCCACAGATGAACGTGTTGTTTTTTTCCCTTGGTAAATGCAAGTAAATCCTGTTTCAGTAATTCTCTCAGCTGTTGCTTTTCATCCTGCTTTGCTTTAGATGGAATTATTTGGCTGTCACTCATACACATAAAAAAAAAAATACAACAACACAAACTCTCACCGGAGGGTCCACCAGCATTATACTGCATCTGAGCAGCACTTGATGGCTGGTATTACGCTTAATAGGAAACAGCTAAAACAAAGAAAACTACTACCATATGAACAGGAATTCAGAGAAAGCCCCGTTGTTGCCGAGGGGGCCCTGCGCTGCCCTGGCATGTGGCCAATGTAAAAGCATTTTAAATGTTCAGTAATGATGAAGTTCAGGTTACAGGAGGAGAAGAAAACAAACGTTCTCTGACAGGTGATTACTACAGAAATTGAAGCATAATTACATGAAATTTCAAGAGTAGTGATGTTTTTTTACGAGTCAATCAGACTGACTGTTACTAACGACAGGCCTTTTATCCCCTGGGTAAAATATAAATATGTAATAATTTGCCTGCCCCTGCTTGACATTTATTTTGTGTTTGTTTTAAATTTTTAAAGAGATAATTAGTTATGAACTAATATTGATCACTATTAACAAACCTGTCACTTGCACCATATAGTTATAGGGATCTTTTTCATCTGGGTAACTGATGCCTTTCAACAGTTCTTGGATGCACATATACAACTATGTTCATAATAATGCACTCGTATGCAATGGTGTAGTGCAACTCATTTTCACCGGGGGTCACATCAGCAATACAGTTCCCCCTGAAGGGCCGGTTGTAAATGGAAGACTGTATAGATCAGGGGTCCCCAACCCCTGGTCCACGGACCAGTACTTAATCTTTACTAATTTACTTCATTCAAAGAAAATCCAGTCATATCAATTTACTTTCTTTATATAGAATAATCTGGATGTATTTTAAAATAAAAGTCATTCAGACTGAAACAAACAGAATCGAGTCTAGGTGTTTTATTTTGAAAATTTAATGATCCTTCAATGCTTCAAAGCACCTTGATACCGGTCCGTAGTAACAGGTGGTACTGGCTGACAGAAAAAAGGTCAGGGACCGCTGGTATAGATGTAACTACTCTATAACAAACCTATAATTGATGTTTCTGCAATTGGTTATAATTTATTCAAGCTAAACATATTGTTCATTGCTGTGTAATAAAAAACAATTTAATTTCTTAGGTTAAGAAACTCTGCTGCATGGACCACACAAAATGGCTTGGTGGGCCGCATTTGGCCCCCGGGCCTTGAGTTTGACACATGTGGTGTAGTGTTATTTAGAATAAACATAATTGTATAAGAACTGCTGGAGTAAATAAAGAAGTATATGTGGCAGTAAATAAAAATATATACGTGCTTATCTTTACTTGCTATGATAAAATATTTACCACTAAGTGTGTCTCTGGAGCTCACAGCCCAAACTGTTGATGTAGAACAGGGTATTCCTGAGGAGCGAATACTTTACAGTCTGGATTAATAACCACGCATCCAGAGATAACAGCTCCCGGAAAGAACACACACTTTTCTTCCCCTTCCTCTAAAGCTAATCCAACGACATCTGCAGGAACGCCCGGTGGGAGAAGCTCTGTCGTAAGCTATTAGAGGAATAAATTATTCCATAACTGGCTGCAAATGCCACACACCGTGTAAAACAACCAATGTTGAGAAAATAATGTGATCAACTTGAAATAAATAAAGAAGAGATAATAAATGAGCCTTGTCCAACGTGTTGTCTTCAGCCCCGGTGGGATGATTCCTGGAGATCAATAAAACACATAAATGCCCCGTCTGGGATTTCATCACAAAGCTCCTCATGTTGTGTTTGCATACAGTGATTTATTAAAGAAGGGACATTTATTCTAACTGTGAACTTTACGGCCTGAGAATATTGAAAGCACAAGGTCCGACGGCGAGGCAGGGACAGGTGGGTGGATGGAAAAGACATCGGGGGAAAAAAAAAGATTGTGTTTTGAACGCAGGCCACAATCTATAGTCATTAAAACCTGATTGTGGTTTGGACGACGATGCATTTGTTCTTTGTTAACAGGTTGCAATGCTATATTTATAAGTCCAGGATTCAAATACAAATGTCAGCTGCTGTTAATGTTCTTTGGTGAGACACCTAATAAATTGTCAGAGGTGGAAAATAACCAATTATATTTGCTCAAGTTACTGTAATTGAGTCGTTTTTGTGAGCAATTTGCAATTTCTTAAGTAGTTTTGAGAGTAGGTAATTTTACTTAAGTACATTTTGACTCAAATATTTTACTATGAGTCAAAAAGTAAAATATCAGTAACAGTAAGTGTCCGTTGCTGAGTAAAAAAATGCGGGGAAAATCAATCTGCGTTAGTGAAACAAAACTGCGTGGGTGTCTCGTCTTTTGTTCCATCAAGTAATTTAAAGTAATTAAGTAACTTACTCAAAGTCATTTTTACTATTACTAATACATTTTTTGGATGGGTACTTTTACTTGAGTAG